CTATCAAGCACCATTCTGTATGTATCGAAATGCACATTGCTTGTTGAGATTCCACTTGCATTGCATTGTCCATTCAGTCCTTTTTATCACATTGCGGATCATCGGTTATTATGTACATCGCCCACCTGGGCATGTAACAGTTGGCATCGGACCACCGCACGTGAATCAGGACAACCTGATCTGATGCGTGTGCGGGGACTAGGTAGCTGATTAGTCTTGATTGATTGATGAGAGCACACTAGTTAGCCCCCAAAATCACGATTTTGACCTCACTGCCAAAAATCGATTTTTTTTTTCTTTTCTTGGATTTCGTTTTCTCGCTAGTTCTGTTGTGGAAAAATCGCAATAGCGCAACATCTGAAATTTCCGTTTCGTTTTTTTTTGCTTCTTCTGAAAATCCGAAATTTCGTTGTTGGAAATCCGGAATATTTTTTTCTCTCGAAAATTTCGATTCCTGTTCCCGTTATTTGGAAATTCGGAATATTTCTTCCATAATCTGGTTTTTGAGGAAACGGTATGGGAAACCCCTCTTGCATTACCATTTTCCACACTGCGAATACTCTCATCTGAGTAAATCCTAATACTTGTATTTCTTTTCGGAAATTTTTTTCGCAGTTCTATGATTTTCACTACCTGGTAATCATTTGCAGTCTGAAGTCCGAATTTTTTTTCTCATTGCTAATTTCGCACTTCAAGGGAGGTTGGGAGACCTACTGAACTTGCAAAACTCGGGATTTTTATTTTTCTCGATTTTTTTTCTCGCAAAGTTCAAACTTCTTTTTTTTTTTATTAGTGGCTCCTTATCTGGGCGATTTACCCCACCCCTCCCCACCTATGTTGTTGCCCCCTCTGATCTTTTCTCTATCACCCTCCGGGTAGCCCCTGCGGCGGCATTGGTAAGTTGCCACGTCGGCAGGCCACGTCAGCAGGACACGGCAGCAGTGCCATGTCAGCAACCAGTCCCGGCAGCAGCAGGACACGTCAGTGCATGGTGCTCACCCGCTCAAAGACAAGTGGCATGGAGCAGCAGCCAGGCGAGACTACCGAGGCCTATGAGGCCTGCATGCTGGACATGGTAGCAGAGTACAAGCAACGGGCAGCTGCGGCAACATCCGCACGTAAGAAGGAAGACGAGGAAGCAGAGGAATAGTGTCGCCTTGCTGAACAGCAGCGACAGGCGGACGCTGAGGCAGCAGCGACGGCTGCAGATGAACGCCGTCGACTACGCCGAGACAAACTCCTCGAATGCGAAGGGGATATCGAGGTGATCGCCGGCGAATGGGCAGTGGCTGCTGAAGAGGAGGGTGCCCCCTCTGCTGTGCGTGGCCTTGCAACCACAATCGAACATGTGAGCGACTTGGTCGCCACCTGTGCAGCACAGCAAGAGGACATCCTCTGCATGGACACCCTGGTCCGGAAGCAGATTCGCGTTATTGATGAACTACTGCTTGACCGGGTACGTCGGCTGGAACAGCAGCTTGCATCAGCCACCCCTGCCGGACCCTCCAACTTAACGGACCGCGTCAACGTCTTGGAAATCGACGTCGAGATTCTCGAGGAGGGTGCCGGAACGACAAATCAGAGGATTGACCAGCAGATTTGCGCTGCCGCAGCCAGTCCGACCGTGAATCGTGAGAGCATTCCGAAGTTTGACGGCCTCCCGATCTTCTGTGATGCAACGAAGATGGACCCGATCCCATGGTGGCGGCAGTTCGAGTTGACGTTGGACATTCACCACGTCATCAATCCGAAACCGGCACGCATACTTATACTCCCGCTCGGGAGGCGCGTGCCAGGCATGGCTGGACAACATGTTGTCCACGCACAACGTCGCAGTCTTCGAGCTGCATACGAAGATCAGTTGGGCTGATCTCAAGGCAGCATGGCATAAGCGGTTCCAAGTGGAGCCGCCCGAGCTTCAGGCAGCCGAGAAACTTTAACCGTTCTATCAGAACGACCTGCCAAGCACGGACTGGATCACCGAGTACCAACGCTTGGCATCCACGCCCAACTTGCCGTCGACATTCGTCGCAATCAAGCACTTCTTCATCAGGAGGAGCTGCCCGGCGTTGCAGAACGCCTTGACGCAAGTTGCGGAGACGCTCACCACAAGTGAGCAGTTTTCGATAAAGCCTCGCAGATCATCCTGACGAAAATCGAGGCCAAGAATTTGGGCCATTCGTCTGCTGCAGGCCAGGGCAGAGGATAGCATTGGCCGAAAGTGGTCGTGGTCACAGCAACTACAGCGACCAACATTCCAAACGAGGCTGCCTCTTCTGAGGAAGGAGACAGATTGGCAGCCGCCCGAGATGGTGGCCGCCCCGCCAGAGGGCGAGGACGCGGCAAACCGAAGACACACACCAATTCAGCCCCCGGGGCCGGACCAGCGGCTCAAGAGACTTGGACACATTACGGTATCTCGGAAGGCGTGTACCGCATCCGGTCGGTACACCGGTCTAAGTACTGATACTGCTTGTGGTGCAACAGCGTGGTGCACGACACCTCAACGTGCCCCACACCGGTTCAAGCCAAATCCCCTTCGGGAAAGTGAGCATCGCCGAGAGCGATGCGGCTGCACTCTCGACGCCTTCGGAATCGGTTGCTTCGCGAGCGACCTCTCTTCATTCCGAGGCACATGCAGAAGTCGACAGTCCTCTCTTGTATTCTTATGAGGACTATGCTGGTCGGCTCGTTCCTTCACTGGGTTCTCAAGCTCAAGGACAAGATGTGTGTGCAGCTTCTTCTTCGTCCAGCAACAGCAACAATAGATCGTCTTCAAGTGGCTCTTCAAGGGATTCGACGCACGAGTTCAACATAGAGGCCTTGGACCTGTTGCCGTCCGAGCATTTTGCATGGCTTCCTCTCCTTTCCACAGGCTGCTTGCCGAGACCGCAATGCGCAGCACTATGCGTTCATCTCCACACATACTTAGCCTTCTATGCACCACCATCTTCGCCGTCGGATGACGAAGCTGCGGTGGGGGACATCCTTGCATATGTTACCAAGGTGGCCCGCGAGTTTCGCATGCAGCGGTACGATGATAGCAACGCAAGCGTCCTGCAGCGCTTTGCTGGATAGCGGCGCGACTCGCAATTTCATTAGCCAGTCCTTTATCCAAAGGGCCGGCCTTCGCGCTCAAGTTCGAAGGAAGCCAAACCCGACGGCGATCAAGTTGGCGGACGGTCGGACGCGACAACGCCTCGATCGCTACATTGAAGCCGTGCCGGTTTATTTTGCACCTCACGCATAAGAACCGGTGACGTTTGAGGTCTTAGACACGAACTTCGACATTATTCTGGGGATGCCTTGGCTTGCAAGTGCGGATCACACGGTTAACTTCCATCAGCGGAAACTTACCGTTCGCGACGCCTTCGGCGTCGACGTGCCATGCACCATTCCTCTTTCGCACTCCTCGATCTGGTGCCAAAGTTGTAACGGCCAAGTATTTTCGGGCCACTTGCGCTTACGAGCGACCGACGAGATAGGCCTATGTTTTCTACGAGCCGCCTCGACGACCGAATCTTCATCAACGGACTTGTCTTCGGACCCCCGAGTGGTGCGGCTGCTCGACGAGTTCACCGACATCTTCCAATCTCCTACCGGTGTGGTGTCGGATCGGCCTATCTCCCACGAGATCATTCTTGAGGGCGGTGCCGTGTCGCCAGAAGGATGCATCTATCGCATGAGCGAGGAAGAGCTCGAGGTTCTCCGCGCTCAACTCGACGATCTTTTGGACAAGGGCTGGATCCTCCCCAGCAACTCACCATATAGTGCGCCAGTTCTCTTCGTACGGAATAAGAACAAGGATCTTCGCTTGTGCATCGACTACCGCAAGCTCAATGCACAAATCGTCAAGAATGAGGGACCTCTTCCGCGGATTGACGACCTTCTCGAGCATTTGGGCGGCGCAAAATTTGTCTCGAAGTTGGACTTGAAGTTGGGCTACCATCAAATCTCGGTACACCCGCAAGATTGCTACAAATCCGCGTTCAAGACGCGGTACGGGCATTTTGAGTGGATTGTTATGCCTTTTGATCTCACCAATGCCACGTCGACCTTTCAAGCGGCAATGACGAACGAGTTTCGTGCGATGCTGGACCGGTTTGTACTAGTCTACTTAGACGACATCCTCGTCTATAGCCGGGCATTGGAGGATCATCTTGAGCACCTTCGACGAGTGTTGGAGACGGTCCGCCTCTCCAAGTACAAAGCCAACCGCGACAAGTACGAATTTGTCCGGCAAGAGCTGGAATACTGGGCCCAGTTTGTCACACCGGAGGGCATCAGTCCGCTGTCGGACAAGATTCAAGCCATCCAAGAGTGGTCGGAACCGAAGATTGACACAAATGTCCGTTCCTTCCGTGGCTTAGCCGGCTACTATCAACGCTTCATCAAGGGATACTCGAAGATCGCGGCTCCTTTATCCAAGCTTCAATGTGAGGACCGACCATTCGACTTCGACGACCATGCCCAGACTTCATTTTTGGCTCTCAAAGCCGCATTGCTATCCGCAGAGGTGTTGCGCTGTCGGGACAGAAACCCTGACAAGGGTATCTGCCCTGTATTTTCAATGTCGGACGAAGTCCGAGTTTTGATATAAGTTTGTGGAATTGGTCTGACAAAATAAGCATGCTATTGGATTATTCCAACTCGTCCGCAGGATTACGACAAGATCGCAGAGATGTGCGACCGTAGAAAGACTAAAGTTAGACCTATCCTACTTTTAATGGTGTCGCGTCGTTGCTAAGCCGCGCGGTTCAAGGCCTAAAAGAGGGCTGCACGTGGGGCTGCACGGCTGCAACCAAGGCCGTAAGGCTGCGCGTGGGGCTGCACGGCCGCAAGCAAGGCCACAGGACCGCAAGCGGGGTCTGCACGGCCACAGGCAATTAGTGCATGTAGGGCCGCAGGCAGACAAATCCTACTAAGTGCCATATGGGGACCTGCTGGGCGGTAGAAGCCCTTCATATGGAAGGGCTGCTCCTTCCTGTATGTGAAAAGGAGCTAGCCCAGTAGGTATTGTTATCAAACTATCACCCGACTGAGACCGGGATCGAATCCGACAAGCCCTGCTAGGCGCAGCTCCTTTTGGAGATGCTGTTTTGTTTAACAAGCGTAGTCGATCTCGACTACGCGATCAGAAGGATCACGCGGCCGAAAGTGGCTGCGCGTGAGATTAGCATGGCCCTGTGCAAGGATGACACGCATAAATCGAGAAATGGTTCGAAAATTTTTTCGATTCCCCGCAGGGAATCGAACTCGGGTCTGTATTTCAACAAGACCCCTGCCGTTGGCATAAGCCAACGGCTTCAATGTGGTTGCGCCAGATGGCGCACAGGAAAGGGAAGTTGAGGATTGTAGTCCTCAGCAGGTTCAAAGGGCGCCCGTTTTCAACTGGCAGCCGTTTTTTATTCGGTGAGTTGGGTTTTTTCTTTTGGTTTTGTTTTTTTTTTCTCTTAGATTCTTTTCACCTAGACTTAGATTTTCTTTTATTAGATTTAGTTTAGATTTTCTTCTTTTTGTTTTTGTTTTTGTTTTTTTCTAGATACCCGTTCGTTCTGGGGTTTCACCGACTCATTAGGAGGCTGAGCCTCGACAGTCTGGGCAGCAACTGAATGAGTAAAGCGCCTGAACCTGACGCTTATGGCGCCTAGGTACAGGCGCAAAGTAGCGAGATGCAAAAGGGGGGGGGAGACCCAAACTGTGCCAGACTGTTTCGTCGGGTTTCACCGACTCATCAGGGGGTTGGACCCCGACAGGCTGAAAGTGCATGAACCGGGCGCTTATAGCGTCCAGATACAGGGATCGAAAGAGAGAGAGGAATGGGGGGGGAGCCACCGACTCATCTGCAGTTGGTCCCTCGTTATGACTTCCAACGAGGGACTGAGCAGGATCGAATGAATTTGCCCCTAGGACAAGGGGAGATTCATCATTGTTGGGCCACTGGCTACCCGACTGTGGAAAAGGTAAGGTAAGTTTATTTATTTATTTATTTATTTATTTATTTATTTTCTCTCTTCTTTTCTAGTTTTAACTACTTTTGCTCGTTGTGACTGTTGGGGGTGTAGGGAAGAAAACGAGGCAAAATGCCTCATGAAAAAACTGTAAAAAAATAAAAATAAAAATAAAAAAGCAAAACACAAACGAGGTTACTTCCTCGTGAGACCAAAAAGAACAGTCTTTTGACTGTGTGGGAGCAAGAAGAGCTCCCACTTCAATTTTAGAAGGATGGTTGTGGCCGCGAGATCTCAGATCTAACGGCTCACAGCGAGCGCGTGTGGGAAAGGGGACCGAGGGAGTGAGAGGGAGAAACGGGGTAGTTGGGAGGAGGAGGTCCTACTCCTCCCAACCTGCCAACTGCCTCCCCATTTTTAGGGGAGGACAGCAGAGAAGAAGGAAGGGGGCTGTTGCATGCAACAGCATGCACCTGGCCAAGGTAAAAGCCAGGTGCAGTAGAAATTAGGAAGTTAGTTTTTTTTTTCTTTTCTTTTCTTTATTTAGTGTGAGGACACTTGTCCTCACGTGGTGCTACCTTTGGCAAAAGCTGCCAGAGGTAATTGTCAAGCTCCTGTTTTGGAAGGGAGCCTGGAAATTAAAGAGCCACTAAGGAAAAGGGTAGATACAACCTTTTCCCAGATCCCCGATGTATCTGCCCTGGAAAATGGGTCCAGATACATCAAACTGTAAAGGGCTGTATCTCTCCAACCCCTTATCAGAAAAATAAAAGAAAAACACTTTTGGAAATGGCGGGAGACCAACTATCCCGTGAGATTCCGAGATAGCTGGGAAAAATAAAAGGAAAAATAAAATGGGGCAGTTAAAGAAACTGCCCCACACTAAGGTTGTGGTTGTGGTGCGGCCACAATCAACCCTGGATCTTGGCAGATCAAGGGCTCACAGTGAGCCCGCAATTTTGCCTAGAGGATGGAGTGACGTCCAGCCCTCCTCAGCCACTGTAAAACAGCCAGCTGCCCCCCAGTTGCCACACAATTGCACTCGTGCTGCCAGTGTGTGACGAGCACACTTGAGTGATGTGGCTGCTGGAGCTGCTGCCTGAGGCAATGTGAGGAGCTGGAGATCTGCAGAGGAGCGCGAGGAGAAGAGCTAAGCAGCCATAGCCAAGGCAGGGAGCATTCTGCTCCTCTCCCCTCTGGCTAGTGCTGGTCCCACGGGATGGATCCAGGGACGCTACGGGACTGCGGCAGTGCGACGCTGTGAAATTTGGGCCTAGGGCCCAAATTTTATCACTTTGGCCAGCCATTTTTCCACTACGGTGGGGAAGTGCTGCCGAATTTTTACGGCGGCGGCACCAAGGCTTATCAGCGGTGGTGTGGGAGCGCTGCCAAAATTTTACGGCAACGATTCCGGTTTTTACTGCGGTGGTACCGAAGTGCTGCCAAATTTCTGCAGTGGCGGCACAGGGTTTTTCTGCGGTGGTATTGAAGTGCTGCCGAATTTCTGCAGCGGCAGCACAAATATTATCGGCGATGGTGCGAAAGCGCTGCCGAAACTCTACGGCGTCAACTACGGTTTTATCGGCGGTGGTGCGAAAGCGTTGCCGAAATTCTACGGCGACAACTACGGTTTTTTTGGCGGTGGTACGGAAACGCTGTCCGAATTTTTCGGTGGTGACTCCGGTTTTACTAGCGGTGGTGTGGAAGCGCTGTGAAAATTTTACAGGTGGCGACGCAAGGTTACCGGCGGTAGGAGTTCCACATTTAGCGGCAACCGGACCTTGGTGTAGGGAAGGTACCGCTGGAGCAGAGGATTGAGGTGGTGTGAATTGTGACGGCGTGGTGACGCGGTAACAATGAAAGTCAGTTGCAGTGATACTTACTGAAAAGTAAGCGAGGGGGTGTTGCGGCAGGTGGTCGCAGCAAGAGAGTGGTGTCGATCACTTAGGTGACGACTGGAGACGACCACCGTCACGTCAACAGGAGAGTAATCTTATACGGTTTTCTTGAGTGCACCGTATTACTTCACTCAAGGTCAGTGGTCACTTAACCCACCTGAGTGAACCCACACTTGCTTTGACCTGTTTATCTGAATGTTCATTGAAAAATGGAAGAGGGTGCATGTTCTTGCGTGTATGACTGGGAGTCTGACAATGGTAAAGGAATGCATGGTGGTCTGTGTGTCGTTGGGTTTTGACTGCAGGTACGGCGTGTGGGCTGAAATGGATGATGGTGATGATGGTGAAAGGATGGTTGTCTTCTCATCCCTATGCTTATGGATGTGTGTAAACTAAAGTGAAAAGAAGACGACGAAAAATAAGCGACCACAAAGAAGAGAAACCTGGATGGACATAGATTTTCTCCCAAGGTCACCTATTCTTGCCCGAATGACCTCTTCGTCTATGCCCGTCTGTCCGAATGACTTTCTCTTCTGTGTTCTTTCTTTCTTTCGTCTAAGTTACTCTTGACGTCAGGCGGCAAGAATTTGCTCGTCCGCCGGGTAGGTGCTTTTCCTTTCTTCTAGGAGGCATCTGGGGCGGGGGTTCATTGCCTTAGGGGGCGGACCTGTTATCGACTCAGAGTGGACCGCTTTGCGGGGGGTTACCATGCCGATTCGGTGGAGACGGCCCGACTTCTGTGCTCGGGCGAGGAGGAGGAGTATCCCATACCACCTCCTAGGGGGATGGACAAACGTGTTTGCACGAACGGACTTAAGGTTCTTGGTGCCTTGCGTAAGGAGGAACTGCCATAACATTCCTTTGGTGGCCATTCTAGGAGCCACTGACGTATGGGGAACTAGTGCCACAAGCAGCCCAGTTCGTGTCCTACTAGCCAAACAGGGTGTATTTAGACACTCCAGACGTGGCTGGCCGTGCCATAAGAAGCACAGGCAAGAAGAAAGACAAATGTTTTAGTGATACTTAGTTTTAACTTTATCACATTTGTCTTCCTTTTTCTTTCAGATGGCTATGGGATCCACGGACTTGTTCCTTTTCTACGATCGCGATTCGACGGCTGAAAGGGTCGAGCTCCAAAGGCGTAATGGAGAAAGGGTAGAGAGGATAGGCCGACTTGTTTACAATCCGTCAGAGTTGTACTCTGAGGAGGACGTTCCGCGGTTTTGGGATGGCGGTGTGCAAAGACCCCCCAGACGGCTTATTTTCGGGAGACCGGCCAGCTTGGATGTTCTTCATTACGAGTTCGCGCCGCCATTGCCCGAGTGTCACTTCGTCAATATGAACCTGGTGGTACTGCAACCGTACGAGCTCAATCCACGAGTGGACGAAATTGCAGAAATAAGGTTGATGTTCGTTCGATACGTGCTTTGGTTAAATGAACGACAAGGACCTTTCTTCGGTATATAATTCACAGAACGGGTGCGAGCCAATAGGTTCGCAATCATAGACATTGAGCCATTATATGATGATGAGTTGGAGGCCGAGGCGGATGAAATAGAGGAATATTTACGCGACTAATTATAACTTTTCTTCTGACATGCAGATGCCTGGAGCACGATGCGACTTGACGACCCCGAGGTACCTGCTTGTTCGCGACACACATGAGGTCGATCTTATCAGAAGAGCGGAGCAGCTTTTGCAGGTTCAAGGTGGTTCTCCTACAGAATGGATCGGCTTCATTGGATTGCTCCGCAACGGCGACGGATTTTTCCCTAATACTCGTGCAGACTTCCGCGCCAATACAGTCCGGACCCCAGATGA